CAAAAGATTGGGTAGATAACAATGGTCACTTTATCATAAGGTGAAACAAGATTCCTTATGCAGTCCCAAAAAGGCAGGTGCCTTTAGCTGTGTCTGAGTAGGGGACAGGTGGACTGATGCCTCCAAGCACCGCCCTGTTGCACAAACATAGAAAAAATACACATCAGTACTTGCAGAACTTCCCACATTCCAGAAACCTACCCGTTCCCACATTCTACATTGTCACATCGAGCATCTGCATCAACAGCATCTCCAAGTAGCATCCCCCTATTGAGAATTCACTTCAAATGCTTCAGGAATTAGAGAAAGAAAAAACTGATAAACAGTCTGATAGCAGTAATTTTTTCCCAGCCACCTGGATAAAATATTCATTTGCTGGGAGGACGAGACAACCAAATATTTGTGCATGTGGTTTGCAAGCCTTTTCCTTCTGTTACAAAAAGACAGATACTGAAATATTTGAGAGAGTTGTTTGAAAAGCACCCATAAATTATAGCTGTCAGTTATTTCTATTTTCAGCAATAACAGATTAAAATGCATGAGAAACAGATAAATCAATATAAATATTAGAACATAATGAATATAATAATTGTGTGTTTGCCTGGCATAATAAGCTCAAATTCTGTTGGAGGGTGAGGGGGAAGAGATCTACATTGGCCTTCTGAAGAGATTGTAGTAATTCCAATGTTTTTAACAAAACCAGTATCTTGATTCTGTAATTGATTCTCTGAATAAGCACTAAAGTTCTCCTGCTACAGACACTCTGAAATCTGTTCATTTAAAAAGTAGGAATAAATATGCTTTCTTGCCATAGTTTTGAAATTTAAATAGCCGCAATCAAAAAAATCCACAATTTCAAGAATAATCTGTATATGCCGTGCTATATAAAAGTAGTTAGTCAAAGTTAGTTTTGACAAAAACTAGTCATCCCTGAAAAGGGAATGTGCTTGTTATCAGCCTTGCCCAAAGCAAGTATCAACACTATGAAATCTCATAGTTCATGAAACTTGGTGGTATTTATATATAACTCTGAACTATAAATATCTGTTTTTATGTATAGCCTTTGGTACTGGATATAGATACCTAGTGCCACATTAATATCAAGATTATGAGGTCCTTAAGCAAGAGTAAATTCAGGAGCGTTGTTTCCTATATTGCCAGGCACATTACACCCATAGGCAATGGATAGTATTATCTCTGTTGCTCTAAAGCCCATCTTACAGGTTGGCAATATTCAGACCATCAGATCAGGTTTCCTGTGGAGCTGGTAAATTCTCAGCTGCCCCTATAAAACTGCAGGGTCTGATTTGGTTCTGAGCACCTTGTCACACAGTGGAGTAGCTTGCCACTGAGCATCTTGTTTCCAAGCTTATCAATAAAGACACACAATAGCCTGATGTATTATTTCAATGGAGGCCCTGTTTGGGAAGAGATTCATATATAGAATCTTGTCATACATATCTTGCCCTTGCTAAATTGACATTACAGTTGATTCTGTTCTCAAATTATGTATGTATGTAGGTATGCAGGTATGTATGTATGTGTGTGCGTGTGTGTATTTATTTATTTAATGGAACGAGTTGGAAGAATAAATTGTATGGATTCCTCTCTTAAGTCATTGCATGCTGGAATGGAGAGTGATGAGTGGGTTTGAAGGAACCACAATTGGTCTAATCCATCTGCTTAAATGGCCAAAATCCTGTTGAATAAGCTATGCCTGTGGAAGGGTGCTGATGTAATTACCTAACCTGTTGATGTCTGCCACTAGATGGCATCACCAGCAAAGATATATTTTAGGTCAGTGGTCCCCAACCTTGGGCCTTCAGATGTTCTTGGACTTCAACTCCCAGAAATCCTGGCCAGCAGAGGTGGTAGTGAAGGCTTCTGGAAGTTGTAGTCCAAGAACAGCTGGAGGCCCAAGGTTGGGGACCACTGTTTCAGGTAATTAAAGACTTTCCCTTTCCTCCCACACAATGAACTAAATTACTCACAAGTTGGAAAAGTTGTGGGACAGAAAGAAGTCATCTTTAATTGCTGGTCATCTTCCCCCCCCCCACTAGTGACATCATCATCCTTCTGCAGGTATAATTTGCACAACAGCATATTGGTCATTGTTTTCTTGACTAGCTGGGAAGATGCTACTGCTAAATCTCTCCTGTGCCTGAAGCATTAATGGAGAAAATAATAGGGCTCTTTTTATGCCTATTTTCACCATTGTGAAAAGTCACCCATTTTTCACCTTTCCCATAAAATCAGTGAATAGAAGGAAAAGTGTTTACTAATTCCATAAGCAGCATGGCATCACTAGCCTGATCTGATTGGCTATCTGGTTACGCTAATTGACCAGAATCCTGCTGCGAATTTGTGCAAAGACATATAACTATAAATGTGAGCTGCCGCTCATTAGTTAGTGTCAGGTAACTATTATAATTTATGCTGTAACATATGGCAACAAATATCCAGAAAGGATTCTGGCAGTTATGTAGCCCTTGATTCACTGTTATTTTTCAGGAAGAGAAACTGACTGGAATATAACATTAGTATAGAAGCTGAAGGGAAAGAAAGCAACAGTTGAATGCAATAGGAAAAAAACAGAAATACTGAAGGTGTTTTTCAGCTAACATTTCAAAGAGCATACGACCCTTTTACTACAAAAACGTTCTTGGGTGAATATTCGGTGCACAGTTCATTTTTTCTGTTTTACCTATTTCAATTAAAACTAACAGCATTAATGAAAAAAGTCAGTTGAGCAAACAAATCTTTTGACTTGAGATGAATCCACCTTAAATTAGAGAGCTGCCTTTTAAATACAATATTGTTCTAAGTAGGCAGATGAAATACACAAATTGCTTGTCTTACATTGCCCCAAAATTAAATTTGACCTTAATTTGGAATTCAGATAATAATTTTATTGTGTCTGTTACCCGTCTGCCTTCCATTCATTAATACACTAGAAGCATAAGACCTTCAAATGTTGACAGCTCAGGGCAAAATTCTTTTACTGTGTGACAGGACTGCAATGCTCTATTAATCTGCATGTGACAAGCAATAGTTGTATTGGATTGCATAACATTTACAGTATTATCAGACTGTGTACAACTACTTGAATATTTTATTAGTTTTACTGTTTTACTAACAATCCAAACCCAGTGGGAGTATTTAAAATAATCCAGTGCCTTGATATTATTAAGTACAACCATATAAATAGTTCAAAGAACCACATTAATAAACCTACCCTAGAATCTTAATCAGAGCCAATTTAGAGGCATCTCTGCTCTACAGAGTAGAGAGCCATATACACTATCTTGAGCTCACCGGGAGAAAGGTGTGTGATATATGGAAGGAGGACACTGAGAACTCTGAGAATTGTCAACTCGAGGGGTTTCCATAGTTTTTCAATGCCAGAAGTGACTGGACATTCAGTTTAGGGATAGAAAAATACGAAATAGCATCTGGAGATAATGCTATAGCTCCTGCCAATTTAACTGGACATGTTTCCCATCATGGTTTATTTCTAAATTAAGCATAATAGTCAGTTTGCATGTCACTTGCCTCTCTCTTCTCTGGTGGCAGCAACAGGAGAGAATATTCTTATGCACTGAGTTTCTGGAATGCATACATTTTCTTTGTAATATATGCTTATCAAACACTAGATGTGTGAAGTGTCTTTAGACCAAAACCCAGCAAGTTTAAAATGCATTTTAAAGCTGGTTGGTAATTAATCATGAAACATTTTTCATTGCTGAAATGCTTATAAAGTTAAGTCTGTTTATCCTCCACTTTCTAGTTTGCTTGCTTGTTTGCAACTGTAAAACCTTTTTCAGTCTCAGGGCTACATTTTTCCCCCTAGGTATTTTACTTGGGACCACACAATAATGGTTGGCTTAGGTAAAACCATATATATTTTCTTTTTCTGTACATTCATATACTACTCTGTAATTTCAGATTCATGCACATCAATTTGATCAGGATCAGGCATTAGTGCTGAGTACTGAAAAGGGGGTATAATAAGTCTGACTTAGAAATGGGTACAGCTATCTGAATTAAGGGTTTATAACATCCTGAAAGGTAATCACTGATTTTCAGTGAACTCAAAATAACAATGTATATAGGTGCAGTTTGTTCCTAAATAGCACATCTGTTTTCTCCTTTATATAATGATTTTACCTTCTTTTCAAGGAGAAAAGTTAAGTGTTTGGTTTTTGAATATCCTTCTAGTAATGCAAACCTTCTCCCCTCCTCAAACCTTCATAGAAAATAAAACTTTATAAGGCATACATTGTCTCTCTAGATACATGTTTTTTGTCTAGTAATTTCTTTATTCAATTTGACACATATTCAAATGCATATTTGCTGTTATTTAATTGTATCATTAATATTTTGAAGTTGCAAGTGTAACTTTGTATACCCTAATTCCTTTTCATAATAATTTGACAAATTATAGAGGGAATAAATTTCACTGTATAATCTAAAGAGCATTCACAACTTACAGTGCTAAAAGTTTGTGTTTGTAGAAACTGTTCTAATTGCTGGGTGACTGAACTGCCTTACATAACAACAGACAAATAGAATATCACAGTGATTAAGATACAGCATATATCTTCCATTTCAGTTACACAACAGTTTTCCTGTTCGTAAACTTTGTGCTGATAGCAAAAATGTTAATTACAACAATGCATAAAATGTTGACAGTTGTTGTACTTTTGTAACTGAATCAGAGAAAGTGGTTTGGCAAAGCACTGTTAACAGTGGGAGGAATAATGATTCAAACATTGATTTATCTTTATATAAATAATGGCTACATCCCCAAATGGATTTATAAATTAATTTCTGTCTTATTAGAATAGAACCCTTCTTCTGTGGGCATGATTGATGTTATCTATCTGAGTCCCTGTTCCAGCACACACACACACTTAGTTTAGCACAGCTGGAGCTTTAATTTACTGATCATATTAACTCTGATTAATAACTAACAATACCATCTTCTTATACATCAACAGTTCACCGTTACTGAATGGAAATGGGATTGGTCAAACTTGCTGCCAAGTTATCTTGGATTAAATAAGACAACCTTCAAGGCATTACTGGCACACAGGTAATAGCATGGTGATGGCGTGGTTCTCTAGAATTCTGTGTTGAAAGTTCTGTGTGAGGCAAAATGCAAATCTCTTTTGAACCTTTTGTTTGAATATGCTGATTCAAATGTTTCAATGTGAAATTCTGCTTGCACAGTAGTGCTTTCTTCCATCCTTTCCATTGCAGTCTGTTGTGTTCGCCTGGAAAGATTTTCTTAAAGGAATTTTTAAAATGGCATGGGATACTTTGTGGATACATCTTGGAAGGGGCATCAACACTAGTGGGTGACATTCCCTCTAGTGCAAATAAAGGTGCATTTTGCTTGTCCAAAGGACTTTTGTTATACAAATTGAAATAAAGAGTGAAAAAAAAACAAATATGAGAAGATTCTAAACACTTATTAAGAGATTTACTATATCTGTGGCAGGACACCTGAAGGAGCCCAAGGTGGTAAATAAAGCTACGATGCCTTATGATTGAGTGATAACTAATAAAGGAATAATGGAAGTAAAGTTTACCATGTGGTGATCTGTTCAAAGTATCATATTCTTTGCTGGTTTTATTGAACACTTTCAGCTCACATGAACACATTGGCATGAGAAGAATGTAGGCTGTGTGTGTGTGAATGAGATGTAATTATAAAAAGGTATATGTTTGGTTCTTTGTGTACAATGCATTTAATTCATGTGTAATATGATAGAAACTGCTGGAGTTACACCACAGGGTCAGGTGATAAGTTCTGCTTGTGGTGAAATAGATTTTTATGTGATACTTAATATGACAGAAAAAGCACAGGCAATATGAAACCTGTTCCATGAGAATAAGGGGCTACATTCACTTTCCAAAACAACTGGTACGTTGACTAAAATGTGTTTTTTGGGCCCCATTACGAAAAAGCTTTGGAATTTTTAGCTCCATCTGATAACATTAACTAGCATTAGTTGCAGCAAAAGTTTTTGAAATGAAATTCAAATCACTATTGAAAAATGCCACTTTGAATCTTAGGAGAAAGGAAGCATTTAATTAATTAATTAATTAATTAATTAATTAATAAGCTGAACTTTGAAATAGGTTTTTATTCTGCTATGTATAAAATGGAATAAACATTTCAAATATCATCTTTTAGAAACTTGTTGAAAAACAACTCTGACAATTGCTTTGTGTTTGGGTGAGAATGGTTACTGAAAGTGCTAAACAAAAGAAAACTGCTAGTTTTTTTTAATGATAAGGGTAAATACTTTGAATATCCTTACAACATTGTATGCTACAGTCAACCCTTGTCTTACGAACGGCCCGGGTTACGAACATTTCGACTTACGAACCGCTCTGATAGGAAAATATGGACTCGACTTGTGAACTTGGATTCGAGTTATGAACAGGAAAAAAATATGGGGAAGACAGGGAAAGTGGGACATTTTAACTTTCAGTTAGCGAAGAGGCTGCTTATCTGCTTCCTCACTCATCCAAGCAGTTAGAGAATGGGAAGAGAGACCTGGGAATGCCTGGGAATGCCTGGTATTGTCATTTTTAAATGAGAAGAGAGACCTGGGAATGCCTGGTATTGTCATTTTTAAATGTAAAATTTAGTTTAAAAGGTGCTTTGTTTGGGTTAAATGGTGCTTGGGTAAAAGGAAGCCTGTTTTTAGTTAAAACCTGCTTGGGTAAAAACGTGCTTGGTAGCTTTAAAAGCTGCTTGTTTTGATTTAAAAGGTGCTTGGTTGAAAAAGTGCCTGTTTTGGTGTAAAAGGTGATTGATTTAAAAAGTGTTGTTTTTAAACAGTGTTCGCTTGTTCCCTCCGTGGTTTCCTGGCTTTTTTTTAACCTACGACATCTTAGGTTAAAAGAAAAAAGAAAAAATTCTGCCCCTAGTGGTAGGAACGGATTAACTGGCATTTCATTAGTTCCTGTGGGAACTAATGCTTCGGCTTACAAACCACCCCTCGACCTAAGAACCAAAAACAGGCAAAACAGATTAAAGGGTTTTCAATGCATTCCTATGGGAAATGCTGATTCAGGTTACAAATTTTTCGACTTACGAACGTCCTTCCGGAACAGATTAAGTTTGTAAGTCGAGGGTTGACTGTAGTTCCCTGAGGAAACATGGCAAAATGTTCCCCTTTCTGGAGTACTGTCACTCCATTACTTTCTTTAATGCAAACTCATGGGTTTTTTTTACTCCTTCTATAATAGCTGTGTGCTTTCTTTAACCTGTAATTTTCTCTTACCCATGTGATCTGTTTGCTTGTTTTACTATGTACACCATCCAGAGTAGTGTTCTTCACTAATTGAGCAGTATAGAAATCAGATAGATAGATAGATAGATAGATAGATAGATAGATAGATAGATAGATAGATAGATAGATAGTAAGTAAGTAAGTAAGTAAGTAAGTAAGTAAGTAAGTAAGTAAGTAAGTAAGTAAGTAAGTAAGTAAGTAAGTAAGTAAGTAAGTAAGTAAGTAAGTAAGTAAGTAAGTAAGTAAGTAAGTAAGTATCACCCGGCTGGCAAGCCTGTACCATGGATTCTAAGTGTTATAACAAAATCATTCCTCCCATTTGAAAGACCTTTTTGAAGACTAATATTTCAGCCTCTACAGCCTAGATTCTTGTCATATTAAAAAGTGGGTGGAGCCAACCACTCTCTTTCAAGACAGGGAAGATTAGTCTTTTCAATTTATATGAGCTATTTTAGATCCGAGGTCACCTATTTCTGAATGGGGAGGCAGAATGGTCTTGCTTTTAAAAAAATCAAAAATCCTTTCTCCAAACTTTCCCAGATTTGGCACAGAACTCCAACTGTGCCAGATTTGGTGCTGAATGGAAGCTCAATTTCAAAGTTATAAGTTTTTTTCTGGCTGACCCTATTTTTAGAACTGTATTGTAGAATGTTGATTTGCTTATATATATTATATGATTTCCTTATATAACATTTATGATCAGTAAAACTGGACAAAATTGTTCATTTTTCCCAGATCATTGTTACATATTGCCACTAAGCCACCTATAAAACTTTTGTGTAATCATTATAAAGTAAAATGATTTTTCTTTTTGTTTGAAAAATTATCACAGAGCAAAACTGGATAAATCTTGTATACATAAGTGGTTACACAGACAGCATCTGTTGTGAATATTACCCATATGGCAAACTATTTATGTAGAAAATGTTTACATTTTTAATGTTGACTGTATTGTTCATTATCTGTATATTTAGAAGATGCCTTAAAATTTATTTTATTATTGTGGATTTGAATAAGGCAGCACATTCGACTGAATGTGCCTTTTTATGCCATGAAACATGTTTGAGTCTGATCAGTATCATATTGCTTCTCAATTTTTAAAAGAAAATAATATTGCATATTACAAAGGAATTTGCCTATTACAATTATAAAGACAAATTCAAACTAGAAGTGGGATTAGTTTGGAAACTGGAAGAATTTAGAATATTAATTCCCTGAATAACAACCACATCCACACTTTTCCAGATTATTGCCTCACATTAGGGTTTGTCGTTCTCTCCTACTTGGCTGACCCCTCTGCTAGCTTCAGACTTACCAATTTTGTGACACACTGTCAGTGGTGGTGGCAGGTCCTCTAGGGTTTTCTTTAATTTAGATTGGCCTCCCTGCCACCAAGAGTATTGCAGTGATTGCATCCCAGGCATAAGGATCCTAGATAGATACTCGTATTCTTCTGTACTTGCTGTGAGTCCTTGTGGGCTCAAGCATCCCAAAGAACAACAATTCTTACACTTCCTTATACAGTGGGGTCTCGACTTATGAATGACCCTACTTGCGAACAATTCAACTTATGAACCCGCCCTATAGGGGAAATAAGGATTCGATATACGAACTTCCCTCGAGTTACGAACAGGAAAAAGTGCCCCCTCCCTCCTCTTAGAGGCTTCTGGAGGGGAAAAAAGGGTCAGAAACTTAACAATAAATAAAAGAAAGTCACTTATCAGGCCTTGGTAGCCCCCAAACAGCAGGAAAAAGAGCAGGAAACAGCTAAAAGCCCACACCAGAAGGGAGCCTGGCAGCCATTTTGTGCTTTTCCCCCGCTCCTGCACCCTCCTCTCCCGCCTATCAGCTGATTGACTGGCTCTGAAGAGGCTTGGGGAGGCTTCCTCAGCACCTAAAAAGCCTGCCTGTGTGTCTTTGTGCTGAAAAAATCAGCACAACATGCTTTAAAACATGATTTAAAATTGGTTTCAGTGGAAAAAAAAGATTTCTAAAGTGCTTTGCAAACTGTTCCCTGCCTTCCTCCGTTTCCTGAACCTAAGGGAAAAAAAAAAAGAAAAATATCCCCCTCTAGTGGCAGAAGGCGGAATAGCAGCTTCCCATTAGTTTCTATGGATGGAAAAGAGCAGATACAGATTAAATGGTTTTCAATGCATTCCTATGGGAAATGCAGATTTGACCTAAGAACTTTTTGACCTAAGAACCACCTTCCAATACGGATTAAGTTCGTAAGTCGAGACCCCACTGTATCTGCCTTGTGAAAATGCAGTTTTCTAAGTGCTTTGGAGGACAGCCTTGTACTAAGGAAGCTGTATATAATATGTGATTTGGATTAGTGAGTTCAGGTTATGGAAATATTCAAATTCTGTAACTTTCTTCTTGACATAATCAGAAGTGTGTTAAGGTTTCCAAATTCAGAATTGATGTCAGGGAACAATAAATTATGAAGAAAATAGCAAACATGTCAATGCTATTTTCATTGCTCATGTTTTTGAAGGAAGTGGAGGCAAATTATATTGTTAGAAACGTAAATATATAGTAGGAGGGGAAAATAGTTTGCTATAAAAGAACAGACTGCATATCAAAATGTAGTATTTATCAGCAGAAGTGTCATATAATATGTTGAAGTCCACCTTTCTTCATATGAGCCCTCTAAGGGGCACACAGGGGGATGCAGGTTTCGAACACAGCTCTTCTGTGCTTGCTGTGACCCTGTGGAATGCTGTCTTCAGTTACATCTGTGTGGGACTGACAATAGCCCTGTTTTCCAAAAAGTATCAATTTC